GGACAAACACCACTGGACCCTGGACCAATCAAGCTACTCTCACCAGTATGGCACTGCTAGGTACGGTAGTCTTGTCAATACCACAGACTACCCCGGACGTATGCTTTGTTAAGTACCATCTATATAGAATTATATATTTAACCGAACTTCAGTATTCCTTCCTTGGCAAACGCTATACGCCTTCGCAGAAGTCGTTTTCGACACTGTCTGTTATCTTCTAACAGTTGAAATGAAATTGGTGTCAATGTAAAGGCACGAGCTATGCTAGTAATATCTTTGACTAGGTATACATATTTGCAAAACTCAAAGTCAACGCACAGATTATATGGTTTCCTATGAATTTACATAATACCGATTTTCTTAGACCAGATAACTCGTTTCTCATATTTAGAAGCCTCTGATCGAAATAGAAGGGTTCTAAGGTCCATTTCATAACGAGAGTGGCATGTGGACAAAATATTGATGGTAGGCAAACATACAAGAACTTAATTGTAATCACATTTCCTTCTTCATTATAATTTCGACTAATTGTTTCAAACTGATGAAGTAACTAGATGCCCTCACTGATGCCTAGTTTGATACCAGATGATCATTCAATCATGGATATATCTATCTCAATAGCCACCTCCTGTTTTACTCTTCTTAGTTGACATTCACCCACTAAGTATAAAATGTTGTAAGAAAATCATACCATTTGAGATATTGTAACTTTCTTAGCTTAGAGAAATGATCACGCCCTTGGATGCTTAAGACAGATGTGCTATGAGTTAACTTCGTTTTGTCTCATCTCAAGCAACAGAGAATAACGTTAAATACTTGATAAACCCGTTCCTCGCATCGGAAGAGAAGAAAGATTACTCGAAGTAGATTCGCAGTCAGTTGATCATATAGCGCCTTACACTATTGTAGTTTATAGCCTGTACTAAGTGATTGAATCGTACTCGCCATTAAACCTCCTTTAAGCCAATGATGTAGTAAAGGAAACAGCAGTGATCACTCGGAATTATTACATACGACAAAAGATAAAGCCATATTCGAGAAGAATTGAAGAGGTCATGACATACGGTCGACTTGATAGTTGAAGAAAGGGGGAGAAAACTCATCAGACTGTAAACCGATTTTGCCTCGATCATCGTTATAAAGCAACAAGGTTTGGCAACCTCTCGCAACCTCTAAAAAGATAACGGTGATCTTCTTAAAGTTCGGGAGAAGGGTGTCAAATTGAGATTTTATGGTACTTGAACAGCCTACCAGCCAACCTTCATGGCTTTACACATTTCCACTTACTTACCAGTCATCCAGGGGGCATTGATTCACTATCGCAGGAAGTTGATTTTATCGATTTCCCCTTGATCCACCGTTTATTACTAGCTATCCTTGCGACCCATCACGAACTCTAACGTCCCGAATCATGCTCTATCGGATTATCTTTTCTGTCTCTTTCTTAGCGCCATTTGTTAACCAATGCGAGAGCAAACGCCCAGCTTAATAGTCTCAAGGCTGCCATGTTCTGTAGCGAGGATGCCGACGGGCTCAATTGCGTTGCTAGTGGCATACCCGCCCGCTTTAGCACAATGAGAGCCCGAATTTGGTTGCATTAATAATATGGACTCTCCTACTAATTGACCCTACGAGCTCCAAACAAACTCACGTTGCTAGTCTACTAAGTCTGATTCTACTTGAGAGGGTAGCCTAAAAGAAAATATCAGATATGATGAAAAAGGGATAACTAGAAAGAGAAGTGAAGCCATTATGAGTTGACTAGGATTAATACGCCCATCACAAGCAATCAAGACTTGAATGGTAGGAGCATGACTCGGGCATCATTGCTCACGGTTACATCAGTGGTGAGGGACCTCAAACTGAGCAGAATGTTCCAGTAGAAGCGCATCCTCACGAGCCTCACTGTCGATGTCTAGGATATCTTCATGCGCATAATACAATCCAAGCTGCCTGACGAGATGCAACAGGGTGATTTATAAGCAAACCCAAGTAATTAAATGAGTTTCGTAATACAATTATAGGACGGATGGTGGAAGGCACACAATAGGCAAGGTAGTATGTCGCACCGCTTGCCCTGAAATCTCAGTGTATGCAAGGTTCGAGGGCTAGAGTGTATTATTGGGCGGAAGCTAGCTGCAGAAGTCAATTGAGCACACAGTCTTCATGGGTGATGTTATGAATATAATCGAGCTGAGAAAGAATTCAAATTTTCTTCTTGAGAGAAGAAAGACAATGCGAAGAGACTGCTTACGTGCAGTCGCAAGACCCCTCCCTCCCAGGTCGGGGCTTTTGTGTACCTCATTTCCATTCCTTTCAAAAAATGCGCTATGTTTCGAATGCTTAACAGGCATTACGTCAGGGACCTGGCACGAATGCCTGCACAGACGAAAACCCAGCCTCGGTTGTTTTTTTATGACAGTATACCGTTCATCCGGCTAATACTTCCTCTGTGAAGTTCTGACTGTCGGCGCTTCATTTCTGATTGGGCGGAAAATATCCTTGCTAATCATTTTTATGGTTTCATTGAATGTCTAAATGTCACGTTGCGAAACATTGATGCAAGGTAAGTTTAGAACAAATGGCAGCCAGAGGATATGTGGTATTCATTGCTTAAATTAGGTCGCTGGGCTGGGGTCGATGCAGCGCTTGTAGAATTGATCGAGGAGACACTATATGATAATATCATGTAGGTTCTCTGAAACTTAAGACACAATTTGCGAGCTTAGTCAATCAATACAATGAAGTACTAAGTTCTCGGTTCTATTCTTATTAAGTAAGAAGGGATGAAATGGGGCTCATACTCTATGATATGATCAGTAGACAATTTTCTGATGCACATCATCAACTCGCAACAGTGGCATAGTTCCTCAAGATTCACATTACGACCTGCTTCTTGAGGATGAGATCTGCATTCTGACAGTCCTGGCAGCCCTAAAATGACGCCCGTTGGACCATCTTCTTGCCCTTGGGCTTTCTGCGACCTTGAACCCTTGGTCTATATGAGAAGCTTTAAGACGCCGATTGCCGTGGCGGCAGCGATTATCATTGCAGATACGGATCGAAGATATGGACCAGGGCGCTGCATAGTGGGTGATAATATACCAAATTAGGACCCAATGACAAAATGGTTTGATGCATTTGTTCCATCTTAAGTTGCCACATTGGCAAATAGGCGTCATTTCTTTGAAACAATGTTTGACAGTATCCTATCATGATCACGATAACAAAGAGGACCTTGATGTGGGGAGTAGCACGCGGCAGGCGATACATAAATACAACACATGAACTGCAGGGGTGCAGAATATGTAAGTAAGGCCCAGCCAGCCACTTAAGAAAGACTGGGGAAAGCCGATAGTCGATCTGGATAAGCTTGAGCGAATTATGAGATATTTTTCGAATACGCGTATGGTAAGCGAGAAACGCGCGTTACAAGAGGGCGTTTTCCTTGTTTTTGGCTCGTCGGGACCATGGAGCTTGAGGTAGGATTATTTTACGGAACCGAGGAGATATGTAGTATACATCGGTTGCTGTAGTAAGTGAGGGTTGCATTTAACGGTTTGTCGTCATAAGGGGTGACGACGCCACAACACTACAACTAGGGCTCGGTTTGTAAAATCACCTGCCAGCTCCTTGTGATCCTCATTGTTGTGACTTATTGGGTTGGCAAGAGTTGGATGTCAGTATCCCATGTGCAGATCCAGCCAGGGCTCGTTTGAAGGCCCGGACAGGTCACTGACTGTCATGCCACATGGAGATTATAAATCACAAGTAAGTACCTCTCCAGAAAATTTCACTGGCCAGTCTATCTACGTGGTGGCGCCGGGTGCGTGTACAACAGCAATCTTTGATCTAGGTCTCTTACAGTTACCAATCCAAATAAGCACCAATAGAAACTGTAGAGAGCAGAGTTGACGTAAGATCTCCTGGGTGTGGCATTCGGAATACGAAGAGTTTCTTGGGAAGTTTGAATATATGCCAAGCAGTTCATGCAATCGTCAGGCCCTATCGTATTCCATGTTGATAGCAGAGAAACGCCTCAAGGTCAAATCTCCTAGTTGTGTCCGAGAAGGGAGCTAAAAATGTCTAATCCAATCCGTGATTTGGTCACTAGGGCCCTTGTTCATACAAAACGGCTGATCAATATGTCAATTAGAAACTAGTACTAGGATCCGGGGATGGCTACTGGTCTTGGGGTTACACAAGCAGGATCCTGAGATCACTGGTCTCGATTCCCGCTAATCCAAAGCGAGATACAAATAGCAGAAGTCTGCGATTGATGAAAGGGGGTGTGCGTATCTGTATCTGACCCCCACTCAGTTAGGACTGAGGGTCTGTAATGGAACGGTGCAAAGTATGTCCCATTTCTTCCGTAGGATTAGGACCACGCGCCGGGGAGTAGTATTCGCCGTCATGTCGTTGCAAAACGGCCGAGATTAGAGAGTGTTGGTTGGTGAGGCAACCATTGTAGGATACTACTCATTCTAGCGGGCTGCCGTCCTGAAAAGATAAGTTGAGTCTTCAAGAAGTCCTACACTTAGGCGAGTCTGGTCAATCCTCGACTTGGTGGTTGGCGACACTTGAAGGACCCATGACACCAACGTCGTTAGCTCCCGGAAGGATGCCGGATGTCCAGGTGGTATCTGCTTGCCCTAACAATACTGGTTACAAAGCGCTTGATATGAGAGACTATGACTGGAAGAGAAGAGCCAAGCTATAAGTGATTACGAAGGTAGTAGCAACGGAACATTTCCCACGTTCATCGTCATGTCACGCTATGCTGACATAAAAGTACCATACATATAGACATGTTGGCCCCAGAGAATAGTAGCATTCATGAGAGGTGGAACACGGCCCCGCATCAAACCCCAGGATGAACATACATACACATACATGCATACATACCCCAAGAAATCTATCCACTCGGGGATGCTAGTAGAGAGAGAGTTAGTCAGTAACATGGCAGATAAATAGGTCAAATAATAACAAAAAGTAGGACTTGCCCCCATCCCGGATCGAACGAGAGACCTTGTCATGGTCTTGTAATTAATTGGTATACAAGTGACACGCGCTACCACTACGCCATAGGGGCATTGCCGTGAATTTGTGTTCTTCGACGGCTCTGAATTGAGCGACAGGAACCACAAGATTCAAACATATCACAATCCCTCGCAACAAAGGTTACCTCGAGCAAGATCATACATAAGTAGTGGTGTGTGTATATATAAGCATGCAGGAAAGCGGCACATATTATAGTAAGTATCCCATAATAGAGACGAGAAAGCAAATCTATACTAGGAAAGGGGGGAAATAGCGAACTTTTAATAGAAAGAAATATGCGGACGACAGTAATAATGCCTCATGGTAACAAGGTGTGCGTCGCTCTTTCGTAGACGACCGTGACACTGGCTCCTATTGACTAGCAAGGTACTGTACAACGGCTGGAATTGAAAGTGCAGAAATCGTAAATAGAAATCAGACTGTCTTAAATGTTGTTCAGACGCGTGCAGATTTATTTCCAATGATGATTCAGGGGCTAGGCAAGGAAATGGGCATCATTAGTAAGAACTAGCGGGCCGCACAGTAGTATCGGCGATTTTTATTCAACCATAGGCGCAATAGTTATACCGATATGCCGATCAGGTTACACATCGGAACAGTTCGAGGTTCGAGGTAACTCTGTGTAGACGTTTAGGATGGTGGTCAGCTCAAGTCAGGGTCAGTGATACAACCGCAAGCAAACGTTAGTGACACATTATACTCGACCCAAAATATCATGTAAAAAATAGGAAGTATCGGCCGTAAGGCACCCTTTGACGTACTCTAAGAACAGGAAGTGATTGAAAATTCTAGCGATACGAAGCCTTTCTTAGGAGCTGCCTATCGACGACGTCAATATGAAGCAAGTCATTGATTAGTTTCACAATTCTTAGTATTAGACATCATAAACGTGATACAATACTCATGCACTAGCTCTATTAGGTTTCTCATACGTTTGATTTCTGTCCCTCATATGACTTACATCACCTTTCTAACGTAATTCATTTGAAACTCACATGGGCGCGAACATCTTCAGAACCCCTGCCCATGAATTCAATCCATGTCCTTGAACTTATCGAGTAATAAATAATAGGACTCCTTAGCATTAATCTCCTAAACCGACGGAGACTGGATAAGAAGTTATTCTAAATCTGACCTTCGAAATGGCACCCTGAACCAATGTAAATCAGACCCAGTCGTCTCGAAAGAAAAACCACTTCTAATGATGGGTAGCTATGAGTAAACGATTAAAAGATTTTTGCGATCGTACAGGTAAATATTGATCGTGCTTGTGCTATTAGCATCGCTTTAATGTATGTCCTAGTCTCTTCTCATAGGGTTTCCTGGCAGATTATAATATCAGTCTATGCCCAGTGTTCCCAAGAAAAAGCTACTGGCCCTCCGATGTTTCTACGAACTGAAAATTGAGGCTCATTCCAGTTTGCACAGCACATTAAGTGCGTTGTACTATATCTCTGCTACGTGTACGTAAGCGGTGCCTGCTGCACATGATGGTAATCGTGGCTGGTTCTCCAACGAATGGCTTTGAATGGTGTGTGACACAACCACCCACTGGGGTCGGTACCATAACTCATTAGCTGCGTTGGGTCGTCTCTTGACTATCGAACCCCTCCCGTCACTCCGCCTTTTGGGGTAATCACTCTTGACCGCCTCCTTTGAGTTGCATTGGGGCGTCTCGTTGCATTGCTGGTTCAAGAACGGGAGTAGAAAATGGGTTTGAATGGCTGAGCAGAGCCTCAGATCCAAAGCGAAAAGATTCTGTTGATCGAGTAAATGAATAGCATGCAATCTTAACGTGGCGATGGCACATTCCGAGTCCGCCTCTGGCGGTCAATCGGGCACAAGGGTAATTTCCAGGTGAACCAACGGGGCATAGGTCTTGTCGTCGACATCGCGTAGCTATCTAAATACAGGGAAATGAGACTTCGCCCCATATAATCATTTTCAAATCGCTAGACTACCCGTATCGCCACGTTGTGGGGTCCACGGATAGAAGAGATATCGAGGTTATGATGCTTCCGGCGCTTACAACATGAGAGACCGCGGCGTAATTGGGCCAGGCGAAGCTTGAGGTGACACAAGAGACACTTGCTCGTAACAGTTGCAGGGTTACAGGATCATGATAAGCTGACATGGAGATGCGGAATTGTCCCCCCACGGACCTAGATCTGATCAGACTTCACTCTGCCAGGGCGGGCATGCTCGGAAGCGGCACAGCCTGTGAAGCAAGACACTATCCGGACACTTGAGGGGAAGACAGAAGGGGAAATAGTACTCTCGTGATAGGCGGGCGCTGGGGAAGAGATGCACTTAGCCACACTTTGTAGGCGTAAATAGACGAAAACGCGCACTCCCACAGCAATCGGGGGCTGTGAACTACTTCTACGGGCCAGTCAACGATGAACCAATCAATACCTAGACAACAGCTTCGCATCGGCATCGCAGGCTCAACCTTAACATGTGGATTCCGCCTTATGTGCCCAGTATATAAGTGGCTTCTTAACACAGCACTTTCATCGACAACTGCCGATCTTAGGATTTGCTTCACGTACCCAGGTATACTAGATACCTGAGGGGTGTACTGTAAGCGGGGAATTTCGGGGGCGTATGATACCGCGTCTAGCCCTAGGAAAAACATATTCAGTGTGCACTGCTTCTTTAGCGAAGGGGGAACACGGGACATCGCAGATAAATGCCTTTCTGTCTGCCTCTGTGTTGCCTTGGTACTGAATGTTGTGAACATACAGACAAGTACTAACGTACGTATCTCGATATTAATGTTCGGTGAGACAAGTAGGCGGATGGTTGCGAATGATACGTAGGGATAAGGGGTGGGTCCCTTTTTAGTTGCCCTGTCCGCCTGTCCTGCACTGCTGCTGTCGCACAGAGAAGTGCCAAGTACGTATATGTTAGTTGTTAGTTAGGCATTGCATTATACCCGAGCATTCTTCATCTCCCGCTAGCTAAAGTCATTACGTATCTGTCAGTCCCGCACGGTCCCTGCAGCCAACCCCTTCACGCCATCCTATGTATGCTGAATAGAACACGAGACGAACAAGCCAACATAATATCAATGAGCCAATGTCCGCTCATGTACAAGTACTTATCCTATTGCAGTCATCAATTGACATGCTCACTCATGCTTTCTCTACCGAGACTCCCCTGGCAGCCAGCAGCCAGCAACAAACAAAAAACAACCAACAACCAACAACAGCAGACTCGTACCTGCAAGCTGATGGATGGATGGATGGATGGATGAGCTTCGGTCGAGGGGTTGTGTGGCTTCGCTGCATTTACCGATTTAGGGACAACAGCCTATCTGATTCCGGGGATGCGAGACATCGATGCGCCGTTCGTTCTAGCGTCCTGGGGCAGCTTATTGATAGAATGACATCTCCCAAAATGCCACTCCTCGTGTAGATCATTGCCATCAATCCCGCAACGCCCGAGTTGACAGAGCCATAACCAGCAACCAGATGTCTTGTGTCGGGAACCGACATACCGGTACCTGAGCATGTTTTATTTGCTCGGGTCAATCTAATTAGGTCTTCTCGTTGGCATACCGTTGTTCGCCCTCTCCAATAGCGGGCCACAGCGGTACTCGACTGCGATTGGGCTGTCCAGTTTTCCCGTTGTTTCATGGGCGCACATTGGGTCGCTTTAAATTTCCTCTTTGTGCGACTTCGAGCTCCCATATCTCTGACTCGCCCTTGTGCCGACTTAACAGGCAGCACTCTGATCGGGCGGGCCGTAGTCAAGCCAATGCCGTACCTCAGTGAATACACGCACATGCACAACGCACAGAAATCGTATCTGGTGCCTGGAGCTCTGCAGTTTGGCAAGTTGTATATCGTTGTACGCCTTCCTGTCCGCCTCAGTGGCTGTCTCGTCGTCACCTTTGGCACCGTCGCATTGTGTGCGCTTTAATGCGATTGACTACACATCTGCCAATCTACACTCTCAAACTCTAGCACCTGGCTCTCAGGTGCCTTTCATACCTAAACACATTCAAGGGCATAATAACCCTGGAGGAGCAGGGGGCAGCCGAGGGGAACGGAATTAATTCCCATCTTTGATGGGTCGCGGACCCGAATAGGTACTCGCGCTGTATTAAGCTGGCTTCTCAAATTTGCAATATCCGTCGAGTCCTAAAATGTGACGCGCTTCAGGAGTGGGCTGGTTGCCTTGTGGGCATGGCCGCGCCCCATCGCACAGAAAGTACTGTACAAACAGGGGTGAAGAGTGGGTTGCAGACCTGCAGCATGTTGGCGAAGTGTGCTGCAGAAAAAGAAACATGTTGGCTTAGTGACATTGTCTTGGCGTTCAGAAGTGTGACTTCGTGAGGCTCCGTGTGGGTCAGTCAGTGAGTGAGTATGGGCTATTGTAGCTGTGAACCCAGACCAGGATTTCAAAGAAGATAAAGTGGAAGGCTTTAACGACAATGGCGTCCTCGGTATCCATTTATGTTGGACAAGCTGCGCCGCCCTCTTGCTGCAGTGATGGCAACCTTAACCCTGCTTCGTTTTTCCCTTTGAGATATACAGATATACAAACGATCAAGATCCCGCCCCCTAGCCCTTTCTTCCTGTTCCTGCTGAGCATCTTCTTGGAGCATTGGCCCCCATAGAACATATCTCAACGACAAAAGGGCCAAGTTATATCTCAACTACTGGTCACTAGCCAGTGAATACGAGCCTCTCTCCCCAGCCTTCAACTCATGAACCCTTGAATTATTATTGTCATCCATAAATTGGTAGTTCTCATCTTGGAGAATCCGTCTCGGTCGCGGCCAGCTCTTCAAGATGACTTACCTACATCCCCCTTATGTTGATTCATCGTCGTATTCACTTTACACAGACTTACCAATGGATCCGGAAATGAAACGTTCGGTCTCGCCCACAAGTACTGACAGTTCTTGGCCTGTCAACCGCTATCTGACGGACAACAAATCACCATTTCCCCTATACACAGCAATGAACTCTGTTACATCCGGGATTGTAGCACCGTTTCCTCCGGCTCACTTCCAGCGCC